GTTCACGTTGAAAGTGGTAATATGCTGATTTCTGCTAATCACCATCATTTTGGTTTTGGTAGTATTTATATGTAGTCCGAACTTTTCACCGCATTCGTTGATTTTATTTAGTATTGACTGGATGCCTTCAAGGTTATTAACCAGTATGGCGGTATCATCTGCGTGGCGGGTATCGCTTATTGAGACGCCATTGACTATAGCTCGCCATTAATATGGACCTCTGCGAGCTGTTACCAATACAATTCCTTTATTACTCTAACATCTTTATCATCTAAACCGATCTTCTGTAATTTCTCCAGCAGCGGCCCGTGCTTTACGTTATCAAAAGCTTTTTGATAATCGATAAAGCAGACAAAAACATCCTGCCTTTGGTCATAGCACTTTTGGACGAACAATTTCATTGAGAACAGATCTTCTCTGGTACCAAGTTCCTTGATAAATCCAAACAGCGTGTCACCACTCATATCCTCACACTTTCTGTAGATTCTTGAGTGAATTACTCGAAGGAACGCTTTGAGCGCGTGCCTCAACAGGCTTATGAGTATATAGTCTTCGCAATTTCTGGGGTTTGCTTTCTTTGGAATGGCAAGAAATGTAAACGTTAACCAATCCTTGGGGATTTGGCCAGAGTCATATATCACGTTCATATATCAGGAGATATGTAAGATGTTTGATATTTACTTGCTTCAAAACTTCTGCATATATGTTGTCATGACCCGGACTTTTACAACTCTTCATACAACTTATTACGTATTTGACTTCAGACTCAAGAATTTTTGAATCGCTCGTATTTTTTTGGGTAGTGTTTGTGGGGTTATTGGCACGCAGGTGTTTGAATAGTGCCTCCGCGTAATTCCTCCAGGCTTCTTTTAGTTCGTCAGAATCTGATATCGGTCTTCCTTGTTGATTTCTTATTGACGGCAACGCTGTTCTTATACTCGCTCCAGTTATTTTCCTTACCTTTCTATGGAAGTTAAAGGAGTCACGCAGCTGATAAAGTCTCTCAGCTTCTTCACACTGTTTCTGAGCCCATTTCTCATTAGCTTTCCTTATTTTCCTCTTAATAATGCGATCTAGACCTTTATATCTATCATGCTGGCTTTCAGGTCGAGGGTCATTCATCAAGTTCAATATTTCGCCGGTCATCCATGCTTTGATTTTTTCTTGTTTGGGTCGATCAAGTACAATTTCCGCAGCCGCATGGATGTTTGTTCTCAGCGTATTCCAGATATCGTCAGCTGCAATTTCCAGACGAGGATTGCTTTCCTGGCGCAGTTTGTCTAATTGAGTTTTCATGCTTTCTTGCATTCCGGGCTGTTTCAATGTCCGAATGTCGGCGTATTTACGGGGTCCTCGCCCTTTAGACAACAATGTACATCTAAGACTGAAGTTCGCAGCAACGGGTTATGATCTGAGCCGATGTCTGCTCCTGGATATGCTGCCACACGTGTGATCCTGTTCCGATATCTCTTGTTAATCAAAATGTAGTCAATTTGGTTGCGGACGATATTTCCCTGTCTATCTTGAGGTGATTTTCAAGTATAGAGTTTTGTAGGGTATAGTTTATAGAAAGTGTTTTTAACAGCCAACTTTTTATCGCGACAGAACTGAATTAACATTTCACCTCGTTCATTTCTATCACCCAGATCAAATGCCCCTGTTACACCCTCTAAAACACCGCTGCCGACCTTTGCATTAAAATCGCCCATTACTACATTGATATCTTGAAGTTTTAATGACTGCAGAACATCCCGGACTGGCTCATAAAATTGTTCAACTTCAATCTCTGTTCCGTCCACTGTAGGTGCATACGCTTGTACTATATTGATGTTAGTCGGTCTGGCACTTATTTGCAACATTATTATTCGGTCTGAGTATGTTACGACATTCTTCACATATTTATCCATCTCTTTGGATACAATAACGCCTACTCCATTTCTGTGATTTGTATTCTTGTTTTCGGAGTAACAAAATGTTTTTCCATTCTTCCTACATGTTTTACTATTAGGCCATATTGTCTCAGCTATGATAAGAATGTCAATATTCATTCTTTCCGTCTCCTGAATTGCGTTGTCAAGTTTTCCTGCCGCAAAAAGACTTCGACTATTCCAGGTTAAAATTCGCTTTTGGTTCTTCACCATATGAAGCCGGGGGATTCTTAGCACCCTCTGGTGATTTAGCACCAGCCCGGGACTGAGGGCCGTTGCTTTTGATTTTCTTGCCATAATAATGAGTGGGTGGACAAAGTGACGTCCTGGGAAAACTTGCTTGTCTAGTGGTCATCGTAGGTTCCCGATACTTTGGATGACATTGGGGATGATATTTCCATGATCCTCGATATAAAGTTATACCGGCTGTGCTCGGTCGTCAAAGCCTCGTCTGTTAAAACAGGGTAAGCCGGCGAGAAAGTGAGGTTGATATTTAAGGAGGAGAGCTAGACCCCAAAAAAGAGAAGACCCCAAAAACAAAAAAAATTAATATCTAGTTTAAACATTTTTACGGAAGAGGCCCCCTTTTCAAAAGGGTTGAGAGGCCCCCTTTTCAAAAGTCCCCTCTGTTTAAATCCTGAAATGACGCCCATTATCTCCACTCACCCGGTATAGGTTTCTTTGTTTTTCCTTATATTATTTAAAAATGGTTTACCGACTGTCTTATAAACAAAGGACGTCGTTAAAATCTCAAACAAATCAAAAAATGTTTTTAAGACAAAATATCTTTTTGCAAACAAATAACATATTCCGGAATGACGGCTTTTAAAAGTTAAAGTTTGTCGTACCTGTGCCTCGGTAAGTTGCAAAGTATGCGCTAGATACAGCCTTTCTGGGCCGACCATATATTGCTGCCTCTCGAATTCTGCCTCCAGACGTTCTAATTGTTCTGGGGTGAATATTGTTCTGACTCGTTTGCTCTTGCTTGACTTTTTTGCTTGCAGAATACTGGATGATATGTGCTTTACACTTCGGGCTAAAATTGAAAAATGGGAACAGTGTATTGAAAAACTCTAAGAAAGATTTCGATTTTGATTTTAGTATAATTAGCTTCTAGCTCTTCATGCTTCCGAATTATTCTTTTGCATATAAAATTACAGTGTTCAAATTATCTCTTGTTGTGTCAGTTTTCAGCCCACATTAAAACTAACATAAACATTAAAAAACTAAAACCAAGTCCCGGTTTTTCAATATTGGAACTCATGTTGGTTTTACGGACTTATAATAATAAATGTGCTTAAAATAATGTCTCTTCTTTTGAAATGCGATGTACACATTTATTTCCACTTTAAAAAAGCAGTTCTGTTCGAATCACTCTGCAGGTAAATCATTATCGCACCTATAAAAGCAGTCAAAAAATATGTGTCATTCAAATAATAATTGTAAAGGAAATAGTTAATTTCGTAATGACTTCTTCATTTAAAAATGGACTGTGGATTTGGGATGAAATTTATAATGGCCTAGCGTTTCAGCCGTAAGTTATTATTCTGAGACATTTCGGTTCAAAGAGTCATTCAAATCCATTCAAATCGAAAGATGCTTTATTGACACAGAAAAATGAGTTGCAAGTATTTTTTTAAGGAAAGACGTTGTTCAACGAATTCCCTCCAGGCTTAGCAGAATTTCAACAGGAACAATTTCAGTTACTGGTCGAAAAAATATGGAGGGTGAAATAAGAGTAATGGATACAGTAGATACTTATACACAAGTAAAGTATACATTTTTTATTTTTGTTAAATGATGACCCGTCTGTTTTCAGGCAAAATTTAAAAAACACTATCAGCGAAAAGTCAAATTGGTCGATGTTGAAGTTGCTACCATCCAGGATGTAAAAGATGTTGCCATTTTTACCAGCAAATTAGACGATTTATTTCCAGAGTTTATAACTTATTTTCATACCGTGTGCGTGGATCGATTCTTAAGGTCTATGATAGTATATTTTCAGTATTACCTCCAGGTACGTAAAGTCCATGTTCTATGCGAATTTTGTTTTCGAATTTGAATTGAAAATTGAGAGAAAGCTTTATCGTTTTTTATTATTTATTAATACTTTTTACTAAAACTAGTCAAACATGACTGTTTTGACTTTCCAAGTTTTAGCCTCACAGGAGATTGACAATAATTACACGCACACCATGCTCTGCCCTTAAAACACTATATCAATTCAAAGGGCTTAGTTCTCTTCAATCTGCGGTATAAAATCTGATCATCTAGCAGCTGGCGAGCTTCTGGGAGCTCTAGTCTAGCTTGGCGTTTCTTTGCATACCGTTTGATTGCCTGTTCAACAGTCAGGATTCCAAGGTCTCTGTGAAGATAATTATTTCTGACGAACCATGGGGTATTGGCTATTTCACGTAATGCTTTATTTTGGACCGTTTGAATCTTTTTTCTGTGTGTGCGTTTTGTGCATCCCCATAGCTGAATACTGCAGGGCCATGTAGGTTTAATAGTTTATTTATAAATTAAAAATTTGTTATGCAAAGTCATCTTAGAATGCCTGCCAATCAGCCATCTACATTGCCCAATTTTAATTTTCAACTCTTTTACTTTTTTTCTGACATGTTCATTCCATCTTAATTTAGTGGCCAAAGTCATACCAAGATATTTCGCAGTATTTGCATATGGAACGCAGGTTCCATTAATATTTATTACTGCGGGATCTGTCAAATTTTGGTTAGTAAATTTAACATAGGTCGATTTAATTTCGTTAAGTTTAATTTTCCACTTGGTGGTCCATTTATAAACAGCATCACTCGCTTTCTGTAGTTTCCGTGCGGCTGTTACTCGATTTGTGTCAGTTGACATTAATCCTGTGTCATCCGCATATATTGCTATTGTAACTTCTGTCAGTTGGGTATATCAATAAAATTAATAGTAGTAATAACTATTGATAATAAATAATACTGTACCGTGGATGGCCGGGGGTATCAAACTCTTTCTTCAGCTTCCAACTTTTATTCACCTGGAATCACTTTAAATACGGAACAGGAACAAACTAACTTCTAAATTAACGTTAACTTTACAAACAATAACAATAACAAACGGAAAACTCGGACTTCCGACTCGCGGGGTTTAACCTCTTCTGAACTCAGTCGCTGCTGTCACTTCGCTGACTACCTTCTGTGCGTTGTGGAAATTTAACTTGAGCTAGTTCGTTGGAACTTTTGCTCTTTTATGACTGCCCTTTTCGGGACTTTTAAGTTTTAAATTTAGAAGAGTTGATCTGTGTGATTAGTAGAAGTGACCAGTGGTTTGTTGCCTTTGGCACCTCTGGTTGGGATTAGGAGGAAAGGGGGAAGAGCGGGGGGGTTTGTGTGGGGTTTTGGGGAGCTAATCGCAGTTAAGGGGGGCCATTATGGTTTTCTGGCCCTGGTTATTGCTAGTAAGGGGATTTTTAAAGGTGTTTTGGACTACTGGGTTTGAGTGGTTAAGGACTTTGGCTTTGAATTTGGCGTGTTTTTTGGTGAGGAATTCAGGGATAGTGTCCGTTTTTA